TTCCATTCTCTCTCTATATACATACATATAGATGTATGCATAAATATATATATATATAGAATGTAATATATACATCACTATCACTATCACCCCGTTGTTCATTGATTTGCTTGAGCAGGTGCCAGTAATGTCTCCATCCATCCCTGTCACATGTCACGTGCTAGTGTAGCCTGATGGCATATTGGGGCTCTTTCAGGGTCAGGGGAATGAAGACCATCATTGTTACTGTTTTTGGCATATCAAGTATGCCACGGGTAGCTTGCCGGGCTCTGCCATCATGCCAGATACTTTCAGTAGCTTGCTGGGTTCTCCGAGAGAGATGGAGGCTTTGGGGGCAGCCTCTAATCACCTTTACAGGTGTTTCCAGTCAGGAATATATGCAGGCAAGATACTCTTGGTAGCCTGCCAGGTTCTCTGAGAGCGGGAATTAGACAATAAGACTAGAGCTTGATTTTATAGTCTCTGGATCTTGGCTGTTGATGGGGTTACACGGCAGTTGGTGGGTGTAACTGTCTAGATACAGGAAGATGGGGGATCTGGGTGGAGAAGGCCCAGTCCCAATCTGAGCAGGCTTGGAGATTTCAGCCCCGGGTCCCGCACATCTGGGTTTCTCTGCTGGTTCCTTCATGCGTGAGGCTCATCCTAGCATGTGGAGAGTGGCCTCAGCATAGCTGTGGCTGGGTCACGGAGGTCTTCAGCTGGAATATATATATATACACATACATATATGTATGTATGTATGCATATATATCACGGCAGAGCCTGGCAAGCTACCCGTGATGTATTCGATATGCCAAACACAGTAACAACAAGTCTCATGATAGAGATGTTACTGGGCCCGCTCTAGCAAATCAATGAACAATGGGAGGACCGTGAGTGTGACTGTGATGCATATATATATATATATATATACACATACACATACATATATATGTATGTATATGTGTGTGTGTGTGTGTCCTTGGACATGTAGGTTGATTCCAAATCTTACCTATGTGCTGAGTGCTGCAATAAACAGTGGTGTGCATATGTTCTTTTGCATGAATGTTTTTCTGTCCTGTGAGTAGATCTCCCCAAGTGAAATTTCACATGGAAACTCAACTCTGAGTTTACTGAGTACCATCCACAGGGGTTGAACCAGACAACATTCCCACCAGCAGTAGATGAGGATTCATTTTCACCACATCCCTGCTAACACAGATTCTTCCCGGTGTGTTTGATATATGCCATTCTCAATGGTGTAAGATGATATCTCTTGTTATCTAGATTTGGATTTTAGGAATAATAAGTGATGATGAGCACTTTTTCATGTGCCTGATGTAGTGTGGCCATAATAACGTTTATTGAGAGCCTTAATTACTACAAAACAATAATGTATTTCAATTAGGATTCTTGGTAACAACTTATAGAAACCAATTTTAGGGTATTTTAATGAAGAAACAATTGAATGAATCATGAACCCCTTGGAATCACCATGAAGGTTGACAAAGGTTCAGAGCCCTACTCCTGCCTGGCTAGTCCAGAAATGAGTTCCCTTCTCCCAGGATGATACAAGCACTCTCCTAGTCCAAAGGACATCAGGATCTGGATGCTGTTGCCGTATGTAGTGGTGTGATTGTCCTCCCCACAACCAACCTTGCAGCTCCAGAAGGCTGTGCATCCTACTCTATCTCTATCACAAGGGCATGGTTTGGGAGGGCAGTGCCTGAGGGAGCTCCAGGGTACACCCTATGGTCAACCTGGAAAAAATAACAAGGTGACTTCTACCAAGTGGAGACTCTCCCAAATATGAGGAAGGTCACATCTCGGGCAGCCAAAACTGTGGCTTATAATAACCTCAACCAGTTTCTTTTGATCATCCTTATCTTTGGAAGGTTCTTCATCCTAAATTCATAGACAAGGGCTTCAAACCCCTTAGCACTCTACAATGGGATTATTTCTCTCAGAATCCAACCTTTCTGTTCAATTAACGTATCATGAGATTTTATGAATTTTCTAGGCAGCTATACTACATTGATGACTCATGTTGGCTCATATTATTTTTGTGGTTTACTGAATTCCCAAGACCTTGAAAATGGCTGTTAAGCCAGGTCTTCTCAATCATTTTCTTATATAATTGTTTTATTCGAACATGAGCAAATTTAAATTAGTAATATAAAATTGTATTTGTAATACTTCAACAATTCAGTGCACACCTTTAAATTCCTTTATACTGTCATAAATTTTACTTGGTTACTTCACCCAGAAATTGCAAAGTGGTGGCTCAAGAGTCAATTTGGCCTCACAACCATTTTGTTTGGCTGGGCTGGTGTTTTTCCAGAACTGAGTTAGTTACCAACTAATAGTTAGTCTAACTGTTGAATATTTGGACTTCTCATATGAAAACCAGGTCTTCCAACTTCCCTTGCCAAAGTAGATAGCACAAGAGATTCTGGTCCTATTTTCCTATGGGCAGTGTGTGATCAGCTGGGGCTGAGTATCGAAAGCTTCAGGCATGGTTCATACAATCCCTACATTGCTATATTGCCCACCCTTGTCAAGCTTCATTGCCACTCTCACCATGCCCTCTGAAAGGTTTGGGTTTTCAGCCTTCCCTTATTCCTGAGGTCAGAATTTTTTGATTAAATAATGACCTTCTGGGTCAAGTGAGGAACGACGATTAGAATGCTCAACCAGTGAGGGCACCCTGTAGCTTATAATAACCTCAACCAGTTTCTTTTGATCATCCTTATCTTTGGAAGGTTCTTCATCCTAAATTCATTCATTGTCAGTAGTTAAAGTATTGGAAAATGTGCTTCTGGGAAATCCACTAGTTTTCTTGTCTTACAAGTTGGAAAGCAGAGGCAGTTGGTGCAAGAGAGATAAGGAAGCAAACCATCAGACCTCAGAAAGTTGAACACAGGACACTGTATCTCATCTGGAGGCTTTGATAGAGTTCTAACAAGGGTCCTGTAAGGTGCTTCTGATTCAAACAATATTTTTGGCTATTTGAAAAAAATTAGAGTTCATTTCTGTTGCTTGCTTTCAAAACCAAACCAACAAACAAATGGACCTGTCATAACAAGCATCCTGGGCTCAACATAATGTTCCCTGAGCCTGTTCATTTCACCTGGGATTGGGCCCAGGTCCTGGGTGCTCTCAATAACTTCCTTTTGAGATTGCTGAGGGAAGACCAAAGTTTAAGATCATAATGTAAACGTTTTATTGACCATTGGGACCCTGCACTCCCATTCTCCTGGCTTTCAGAAAATCCTTTTCCAGGGTCAACTAGCTAGGCAGCACAGGGAAGCGGCTCCAACGCGCTGGCCTGCGGGATCTGGAGTGAAGCATCTGCCTGGCTGTGGAGTCTGTGCTAGCAAGAACAGCGTTCTCGGGGAAAGCCTTCAAACAGTATGTCAGGAGAGCTAAGTCGAGGCAATAGATTCGTTCAAATTACTGCATCCAAAAATGGTGGCAGCCGTGTACACCAAGGGCACAAACACAGCCGAGAGCCGAACGGAACGCAATCCTTACGACGCATTCGGTTCCGGCGTTACAAAAGGTCAAAAAAGAGACTTGATGACTTCATAACTATAAGGTCAGTATACTTACATGTAGCACTGTCACTGTCCTCCCGTTCATCGATGTCCTCGAGCGGGCCCAGTAACATCTCCGTTGTGAGACTTGTTACTGTGTTTGGCATATGGAATACTGCACAGGTAGCTTTCCAGGCTTTGCCCTGCCCGCGAGAAACTCTCGGAGGAATCAAACCCAGCTTGGTCGGGTACAAGGCAAACACCCTACCTCTGTGCTATTGCTCCAGACAGGATACTTACACGTGAGGCCAAATGGGACCATTTAGAGTATTAAACGAAATAGTGCATAGGCAAGTTCCTGACGTTTGTCTCAACAAACCCTCTCTGAGAGTAGAAACATCCCACTCCCTGCTCCCAGGGAGAGCCTGGCCTGCTCCCGCAAGCCCCAGCCCCAGGAGGCCTAGTCCAGCGAGTCCCATCCGAGGCGTTCCCCCGAGGGCGGGCCGGGCGTGGGAGCCGGCGGCCGCGAGGGGGCAGAGCGCGGCAGGGAATCGGGGTCTCGGCGCGGCCGGCCCGCCCCGAACTTCCCCGCCGCCGCGGTGCCCCCCTCCTCTACGCGCTTCCGTTGCTCTGACGCTCCCCGAGCCGGGCGCGGGGCTCCGAGCGCCGGTGCCCCCTGGGCCACTGAGCAGCGCACCCGCTCGCCGTTCGCCACCGCACCCACCCGCCTGGCACCGTCAGCGCCGCGCGTCGGCATGGAGCCCTGGACCAGGGTGCCCAGATGCCCGGGCCCGTAGGCACACTCCTGCCACTCGGCTGTCGGGGACAGGGGCCGGGTGCCGGGCTAGGGGCTCCGGGGGTCGGGGGGCAGCGGGCGCCGGGCTAGGGGCTACCGGAGGTCGGGGCAGTGGGCGCCGGGCTAAGGGCAGCCGGGCTAGGGGCAGTGGGCGTCGGGCTAGGAGCTCACGGGGGTCGGGGAGCGGGCGCCGGGCTAGGGGCTACCGGGGGTCGAGGCAACGGGCACCCGGCTAGGGGCTGCGGGGGTCGGGGCAGCGGGCGCGGGGCTCGGGGACCTCCTGGAGTCCGGAGGAGCGGGTCCGGGGTAGCGTCCTCCCGGGAGTCAGGGGCAGCGGGCGCCGGGCTAGGGACTCCCGGGGGCTGGGGGCAGCGCCCGGCTGGGTCCCCCTGCAGCCCTGGCGCATGGAGGCGCGGCGGGCAGCTTCCTGGCCCCGGCCACTGGCCGCGCTGAGCCGCGGGCGTCGGGACAGGTGTCCGGGCCGCCGTGACGCTGACGCCGCGCTCCCGGGCCCGGGCTGAGCGCGCGGCCGCGCACGGTCCTCGCGGGGCCAGCAGGCGCTGGGGAGGCGGCCGGGCGCTGCCCGCTGCCAGTGCGGGTGCCCGCCGCCCGCTGCCAGTGCCGGTGCTCGCCGCCCGCTGCCCGGCGCCACTGGCCGCCGCCCGCCGCCCTCCGCCCGCTGCGCGCCGGCCCCGGCGGGTGCCCCCCGCCGCTCCCAGAACCTCCTGGCCGTGGGCGTCCCGAACGTGGACGAGGAAGGCGGGCCCGGACACCGGCGCCATGGACGAGTCGTCCCTGCTGGACCTGCTGGAGTGCTCCGTGTGCCTGGAGCGGCTGGACACCACGGCCAAGGTGCTGCCGTGCCAGCACACCTTCTGTCGCCGCTGCCTGGAGAGCATCGTGTGCTCGCGCCACGAGCTGCGCTGCCCCGAGTGTCGTATCCTGGTGGGCTGCGGCGTGGACGAGCTGCCCGCCAACATCCTGCTGGTGCGCCTGCTGGACGGCATTCGCCAGCGGCCCCGCCGCGCCGCCAGCCCCGCCGGCCCCGGCCCGGCCGCGGCCTCCAGCGCTCCCGGCTCCCCGCTGCTTCCTGGCCTGCGCCCGCTGACCTCCGGCAGGACCGCGCAGCTCGCCAAAGTGAGTGTTTGCCGGGCTCGCGCGCGCGGTGAGGGGGTCGGGAGCCAGCTGGGACGTCCAGCAGGGCCCCGGCCCACGTGCGGCTCTTGGGGGTGTGGAGTTTTCTCCAGCACCTCCCTGATCAGCTTCCAGATAGCTCCAGCCCGGCTCCCAGAGCCCGCCCGCCTAGGTCCCCACCACCTCCATCCATCACCTGTGTCTGTTCCGTGGTTGCCCCGTGGTTGCAGGGCACCCGGTTACCTGTTGACAGGCAGGCCTCGCACCTGACCTCTCTAGGGATAGCAGCATGCCTTTCGCTCCCCGCTGCTCGACTGGCCTGGCCTGTTTTCTTGCCCCTCCCTGTCTTTCAAATGTTGCTGGGCCCTCCCATGTCCCTAGAAATGATCTTTATCGGAATCTCCAGACTTGGCGGCCTCAGCCACCTGGAGTAAAGTCAGCACTTAGTTGGTGTGGGCCTGCGACTTCAGGTGTAAAATGGCAGTAGCCCACACGGAGATTGAAGAGTGTACAGGTCCTGTTAATAGTGGAGACGAGTAGCAGCCCAGGAACCAGAGCTACACTCCCTCTGCTCTCCTAGGAGACCTTTGGAAGCACCCCGGCTCTGAGGGCCGCACCCTCACTCCATCACTGCATCATGTTGTGCATGGCTTCTGTTTTAGTCAAAAGATCTTATCTCCTGGGTTTCAATGATTCAGTTTCAAAGATGGCTTAGAAAGCTTTGAATATGCTGAGATGGTTACTGAGGGAAAGGTAGGCCACAGGGTGCTGATGTGAGAAACAAGAGACTGAGGGTTTTCTATGGAAAATACTTATTTAAAGGTTGGCAAATCCCTTTGTTGATCTATAGCAGTTATCTTATGAAGGACAAGATGCTTCTTCTTCTTTTGACCACTTATGGGGTGGTGGTCATAAACCATTTAGATAATACTTTGGGATATATAAAACTGAGATGCTAGGAAACTTCTGTTATTGGAATTATCCAGAACTGGGGCCTCTTCCAGTTAGGAACTTCAGCCCTTGGGTCTTCAGCTTTAGAATTAAGTGTCATACCCTTGGCCATGCTGGGTTTTTAATATGATTTAGGGAGCATGGAGAGTCAAGAATAGAGAAAGAATGCTTTTACTTTTTCACTGCTAAAGGGGAATTTAAATATCTTTGGTTTCAGTTGTAATTAAATCCAGTTAGAAGTGTTCATGTTACAGATTTTTAGTTTAGCATCCATTTCTAGCTGTTTAATCTAAGAAATGATAATGAGCTTTTTATCTACAGACCAAGGCACTTCCCTTCCTGGAGAATGAGGTGGTGTCATGAGGCATCTAGGGACTCTGGGGCGTTTGGGTGACCACGTGTGTACAGGCACCTTCCCCATTCCTATGACGTGAATCATGTTTGATCGAAGGTTGGGAGGTAACCTCTGAGAGAGATTCCTATAGTTTAAGCAATGCCTGAGCCTCTGTGGCATCTACAGCATTTAAAGAAAAATTGTCACTTTTAGTGATGATGCTCAGTGACAGGGAATTAATTTTCTGATATTGATGCCTTTCTAGGTAGGCACATGGAAGCGTTCTATTTCCCACTTGTGTGTTGGAGGAAAATTTAGAATACGTTTTATTTCTTGTGCTAGCTAATTATGTTTCTTAACCCTTTCCTAAGAGGCAAACCTTGCAAAGTCTAAAGGTTTTAGGAAGAGACTGAATATATTAAATCTTATATTTGATCATTTTTAGAGAGGAAGAAGCAATGGAGTTGAGAATTGCAATACATCTGGCTTCATATCCATTGATTTTTAAAATAGTCTCTGGAAGTCTTATCAGACGACCAGAAGTACTTCATGCCTATTTGTTCTCCTACTCTGAAGTAATAGCATTTATGTATTGTATTGCATTCGTGAGTGTGTGTGTGTGTGGGGGGGGGGTTGAGCGTGGGTATGTGGATGTGTTGGAGGTTGAGATGGGGATAGTGATGAAGTGGTAATGGGAAGTGGTTTGTACTAGAGTGTATTTTGGCCAATCCTAGAAATGTAGGCAAAGACTTCAACTGAAAATGACTTCCAAGTTGACTTTTTGTACTTGAATGCTCAATGATGTTGCTTTGCTCCCTCCTTGCAAAGGTGAATGCTGTGTTTCTGCATGTTGTTTTATATATCATACTTGCCTTACTAACAGGCGATTATAAATATAATGCAAGCTGGCCACAAAATATAAGAGAGTTTCCTACTTTTCCAATGAGAATATGCTTATGCCTTCTTTTGAGCCAACTGAGACATGTGTTTTAGTTTTAAAGAGATAAATATCTGCTTAGATTGTTTCTTAATTTAGTTACAGTGGGGCATTGGGAACCTATTGTATAAAATGTGCTCATTTCTATTTGGTTCCAGTTGTAGTTCATGGAATAATTTTTCCTTCAGATTCTTCACTTGCATCTTTTCCTTCAGTGCTGTGCTTGTGCCGTCACTTGGAGTCCTCTCTTTGCTTCAGCTGTGAGTTGTGTCACGTAACTGTGGGGCATCTCAAAAATTGGCAGTGATAAAAGATTTCTAAATGTGTGCCTGACAAAAATTAATTCAAAGTCAACCACATAACAGATCTGAAGTGTTCCTGGCAGCTTTGGCCCATGTTGCATTTCTCAGATGAAAGGGGTCACGAATGGAAGAAGTTGGAGAAGCCATGTTCTGCCCTTCCAGAGCTGCTTTCGTGCTGTCACTGAGATCAGTCTGAATGATTAATAACGCTTTCCCCAGAAGGTTTGCACCAAGTTACAAGTACATGCAGCTTAGGTTCGAGTAGTTGGCCACTCCATTTGCCTGTTGGAAACTGCTTGTCATTATATGCTGTTTCTTAAAATTGTAGGAAGTTCTCCTTCACAGCTCTATTTTAACACTGTTTAGTCAAATTTCCTTATATGTGCTGAGTTTCTTAGCCTTATTTGTTTCTTGTTTTGCTTTTAACACTTTACAGAATGACCCTTTTAACCCCCTAAACTGGCATTAATCAGGGTGTTTCAAGAAATGAATATTTTTAAAAGGGCTTTGTGGGTCCAAATGAACTAATTCAAAGACTACTTTTAAAATATGTGCTTTATTCATACATATGGCACTCCATTTTTTCCCTAAATGATTAAAAATAATTCCTTTTCTTATTATTGAACACACAGAGAATTAATTATGTAGTTGCATTGCCAGGCCATCTTTTTGTGAGTTTGCATAGGCACTTTATATGAAGCTATTATTAAGTGTCTCCTGGCTTAGGAGGTCCCTGTTGCTCCTGGGCCCTGGAGCAATCTGTTGGCGTCAGTACAGAGCTCTGATGGTTGAGAGAAAGGACATTTGAGAAGTTAAAATGCTGTAGAAAGCTTGGGTAATTTTTTTATGATATAAAATGAGTTTGTATTGTTAACAATACAAGCAAGAGCTAATTAGTTTGTATTGTTAACCTCAAGGTGTTTCAAGATCATTTAAATTGGACATTTCTTAAAACTCAGCAATTTAAAAAGTAAAATATTTATAATTTATATACATGGTATCTATTGTATATTTACATCATAAACTACACATATATGGTGTGAATTCTTGGCTCTGACTCAGGGGTCACTGGTGGCAGTGCTGAGGGACCGTGAGGGGTGCCACAGTATCTGCTGTACTGTCTCTCCACCCCCCAGTTTGATTGTTTTTAAAGCAGTCTGTCTTGGGTGACTGTCTCAAAGCAGTGGTTTTTCAATAAGTGGCTGCTTTTGACTTGAACTTCTTTGGTTTATATACTACTTAATTTAACAATAATTCAATTTATGGTTTGAAGTTAAAAATAATTTAAGGTTTATGTTTTGCCTTTTTAAGTTAAACATAAATCTTAAATTATTCACATATTCACTGTCTCGACCATGGTTGGAAATCGGGACAGTGGAGGTATGCAGCGTATGCTAGCCCAGAAGAACTGGAGGGTCTCCTCCACTCCTCCTGGAGTCGGAATGTGTGTGTCTTGTTCAGGGCATCACATAGCTGGAGATCAGGGGGCAGGGCTGAGAGAGTCTGCAATATCTGGGAGAAAATCATGGTGCTCTTTAGTTATCAACAATTGAGAAGCTTATGCTTGAGATTTTCTTCTTCACAATTACTGAATGCCTATCTGGTGCTGGGCACTTTGACAAATATTTTATTATGTAAACTTCACCATAAGATTTCTCAAAAAATAGAAACAAAAAGATGAAAAGAATTCCATATCTAGTTAGCTTACTCTGGATAGTTACCTGAAAATAGTGAAACACTGATCTGTGTAGATATATGCAGCCCCATTTTCACCAGAGTTCATACTTGGAAACAAACCAAGGTCCTAAATGACAGAAATTGGAGGTGGAGCTATAGCATAGGGGGTAGGGAGCTTGCCTTGTACGTGGCTGACCTGGTCCCACCCTTAGTACCCCATATAGCCCCCAAGCCCTGCCAGGAGTAATCTCTGAGGACAGAGCCAGGAGTAAGCAGTGAGCATTGCTGGGGTGTGGCCCCCAAACCAAAAACCAAACCAAAGTAGTCATTTCTGTGTACAGGAATACATTCACTCCTGCGTGCGTGAGGCTTGGCCTGAGCATGTGGGGAGCGGTCTTGAGCGTGGCGGTGGTTGGGTTCTGGAGGTTTTCAGCTGCCGGGGCTGAGACCCTTGGGGTGGGGAAGGCTCTCTCCCGTTCCCCTCTGGAATGCCCTGAGTGAAACAGCCTGGCTTGGTGTCCAGTGCCATGGCTATGGCAGGCTTCATGTTATCGCTTATTTCACTTTTTAAATTGCTTCCAGGTTTTATTACCAGAGGTAGAGTACCTGATATTTGAAACTTCATTAAAGTTAAAAAAATGGTAACTATAATTTATTTTTAAAGAGGCAATAGGATGAATAATCCTGCTCAGCCTAGGGTACAGTACATCTCACATCTCACCCTGAAACCAAGCACATCTCTTTTCTCTTTGGGACCCAGTAACTCTCCTGTGGCTGCCAGGAATGAACCTGATCAGAATGA